TGTGGGGGGGGGGGGGGGGTGAGTCCTACAGGAATAGAAGAAGCAAGGCGAGAGAATAGAGTCAAAGAGTTTGGGAACAGCTGGCACACAGCAGCTTTGCTACCATTATTCATTTGGGACACTTTCTACGAAGGTAGAGATGCCCTTAGAACTGGCAGAACTCATTCGTTACTCTTCTGAAGCTAAAAGAACCATTTGGCCCACACACTCAGCTTTCACTAACCCTGAAAAATGTCCTTCTATGCAGTTTGACTGATTTGGAGGTGCAGCTCCACTGCAATAATACATGATGTTGATTAGAATAATGTAATTTATACAGTGTTCCAATCCAATCCAGGAGCACTAGCCATGATGAAATATATGACTATTTCAAAAGGCCCAGAATGCTGTTGTGTCAGGAGCACCTCGAGAGCTGCTCCTGGCACAACACGGTATGTTCCTTTTCTCCTCCTTTCTGGCCCAAATCATTCAACTGCAAGCAGCCATTTGTTCAAAATTGCTGCTAAGCAACATTCCAGAGTTGATATTGTAAGACAATGGCACATCCACGTTATTTTTTCCACTGTGCTCGACTCTGGAACCCCCCCACCCCCGCTTGGGAACATGCATCTGCTCCCACACAACTCCAGGTTGGACTGCAATCTGGCTTTGAGACAATCTACAATTCAATGTATATAATGTTAGCTTTAATCTGCAGGGATGGGTGGTTTATTGTTCAGTATTTCTAATGATTCACTCAAAGTCTTCCTTGAGCCAAGCTCAATTCCCAGTGACTATGTGGACAAGCCTCTGTTTCTGTGCCATTGCCTTCTTCCAGAATGTTACTTTGACTTCTCAAACTAGCCCACAGCCTTGAGATTTTCTGGTGGGTCTCCTATCTTAATACTCATCAGGTCTGATCCTGCTGAACTTTTAAGTTTTTCAGAGTTAAATCAGATGTCTTCTATGTAAAATATGTCAACAGTATTTTGGGAAGGATCCATCTGTGCTGAATACCAAAGAAAGGGATGGCATGGCATGACACTTTCACGCTAAGGCTTTAATGGGACTAGCTGTGTATTCAATGTTAGTATGCATTAATATTAGTTATGCAGCAGAACTATATCTTTGTGTTCCAAGGCAGTATATTTCTAAATCGCTAGAGTTTTGAGGTCAAAAAAAAAAAAAAGGCACAGCTATATCTTGCCTTCAGTGGAAGATGTTTCTCAGCAGGTTGCCAAATTATTATTATTTTTTTCCCAGCTTTTCACCAAAGCTGCCAAATATCTCATTCTTTTTTCAGTGTGCATTGTTTCAGTCTCCTTTTGATTTTATTTTAGAGAAATCTTCTATTCTTATTTCAGTTATTGATTTATTAGTAAGTCATTATTGTTCTTCCTATTATATAAGAGTTTTTAAAGATAGTCATCCAGCATTTCAACATCTGGGCTTGGCAAAGCCTGGTCCTTCTCATTTGTCCTGCTCTAAGTTTATGAGGACCGGGGGAGCCAGACTGTGGACAATTCATAAATTTAATGCCAATTAAACTCTTATCCAAATTTCACAAGAATTTAGGGGCACTATAGAGATAGCTGCTTTTTTTTTTTTTTTTTTGGCAATCATCTTTGTTGAAAATGGCCATGGTTTAAATCTTAGCCCAGTAAAAAGTGGGTGTCACTTTTCAGCCAAAGAAACAGAATGATGAGAATTTGCCAGAAATAAATAAAAGGTAAAATAAAATTAAGAATCTTTTTGGATGCAGAAACAACCTTTAGTCCATTTCAGACATTATTGGGAGACCCACATCTTAATTTTTTTAGTTGTATTTGCATGGTGTCAGTGTTAACCCTGTTTTAATTCAGATTGCTAAGCTCTGTAATTCGGCTGGACCCACCAGCTGAAGACCAGTAGTCTATCCACAGCATTTATAAATTCTTCTTTTAAAATATGGTGTATTATATATCTTAGACTAGCAAAGGGATGCTAACCATCTGTTGGTTCACTGCAGGCCACTTAAGGCAACAGAGATAATAGAAAAAATTGTACAGTATCCTACTGATATTTATTAGTTCATTGTTATGTTACTTCATTTTATACTAGTGTTCAAAGCACTTGTACCCACTATTCTTCTGAACTGAAATCTTATATTGTAAGTCATTATTTATTTCTTATCTCTTGAGATTTATATCTCCTCTTTCTTCCAGGAGCTCAACACAGCTTACATGGGGTTCCCATAATTTTTATCCTCACAATAACAAACCTATGAGGCCAGTTGGACTGAAGTGGAATGACTGCCCTAAAGTCCCCAAATGGACTTCCCTAGTGAGGTAGCCTCAAATCTAGGAATTGAACACCTCACTTTCAAACCCTAGATCTTTTTCCAAGCAGCTTCTCCTGGAGAACTGGCTTGGAGCCTATTGTTCCAATGGGTGTAGTATTAACTCCCTTGAAATAAACTGAGGTGGCATCCTTCCTTTCTCTCTCTTCATGATTTTTAAACAAATAATTGCAGCATTAGCACTGAGAAGCAAAGAATCAGGACACCAGCCCTTTACTGCAGTACCTTCTGCATTAGAATTTGCTATGCCACATACACACTGTATATAACATCTCATATGACATTGCCTCTTCTCACCCACCTAATCCAATTTTCTGTTACCATAGAAGCTCAGTGTTGATCCTGGATTTATTCTCTGATTTTTTTACCCCATTTTGTCATCTTTCCCATGAACTAATAAGCCACAGTGGATTTGAAAGCATGAGCAAATGTGAACACTGCACCAAGAACTTTTATGTTCCATTGACATTTACTTCCCACCCTAATAATTTAGAGCTGTTAACATACCAAAAAGGGGGGGGGGAGACTCTTCCCATCACTTTCATTACGAACTTTACAAATGAGTAATATCTAGAGTTATTGTTTGCTGCAGAACATATGGTCTTAATTACAGGAATAAGAAACTTGCTAAGCAAGAGTTTGCAGTGGGAATGAATTATTTGTCTGGGTCATTCATTCAAGATGCATAACTTATAGTAAAAGCATTTTATACATAAAACGTTCTACTATATACACACACACACACACACATACATATATATATATATAAAACAACTGGAAAGCTCCTTACCACATTGAACTAAGCCAGGATTCTTATCAAGGGTTTGGTTCACAAGAAGTTTGACCAGTTTGCATATTTATTAAAGGAACAGGGAAAAATGATAGTCCCATTCCCCATGGTTAATTGATCCTACGCAAGCATTGTTCCCATGCTTGTGAAAATGGTAGTCAGCCTCAATTATAGCTGTCCAGCAAGAGGGATTTCAGAGGATTAGAATTACCATCCCACCTTCTAACAATGAAACATAACCCTACCCCTGAAGCACAATAAATTATCAAATCCTTTACTAAAAGCTTTACTAAAGTTTCTTTTCCCCAGGAGTGTACAAGGGAGACCCAGCTGTAGGGCCATGATTACATCACAGCACAAGGAGCGGCTATGTAATAAATACACCTATTGCCAAGAATTTGTAACCAGCCAGTATTAGTACCACAAATCACAAAAGTTTGCCATCTTTTGGATTTCATTTGACTTGGGTCCAGTTCAGTAGACTTAGGTGTTGAATTAATGACATTGCATGGTAGAATCCTAGAGAATAGAAATTAGGGACAGAGAATATGGTACACTGTCCAAGAAAATGCTAGTGAAAGTGAAAACTAACTTTCTCCTCTATTTCTATGATTTACTGCTTTCCTTTTGGGGATGGGAGATGCTGCTAACCATGTCTGTATCCAGAAAATCCATCCCCTCCTCTTGGTTTTCTCTCCTTATTTCTTTGCTTTCAAACATCAAGGGTCCACTCAACTCTACCGATATATCCCTCCTCTGAATGAACGGCTTGTTCAGGATTGTCTGAAATTTCAAGGGTGGTTCATTTGCAGATGAGGAAGCCTCCATTCAGTTTCAGGTAATAACTAATACCATTCAATCATCCTGGCACTGCACAAACTGTAATTTTGATATTAGTGTTATGTTTTCAGCTCCACAATTGATACAAGGGGTTGAAAACACCATGAATCACTGGGTAATTTCTTATTCGTATTCTGTTTAGCAGGAATTAACAATTCTTATCTACATAACCACAAAAAGGAAAACAAGTAAGGAAAAATCTACACTGCAGATGATCACAAAGTTTGCTTCCCCACATGTATACAGACTACAACTAGGAGTCCTGCCATTTCCTAATGGTAGTAATTTGCTATAGGAACCTGATCTATGTGTACATGCACGCACAGTGCTGAATGTATCCATTTTGCTTTCAGGGCTACAATTCCAAAATGAAAAGGAAGAGACTGCCAAGAATTTAACAGTACTAAATCCTTCAGATTGCCAAAATGTACATGTTTTCTACTTCACAACAAACACATTCCCTCATTCACCTGAATTTTATTCCAAATAGATTCAAAACTTGGCCTTCTTTTGCTGGTAGAATCTAGGATTTATTGAAAATGAACCGTTTCAAGAGGAAGTTCATGAACCTTAACAGACAAGGCTGTTCTGGTGGATCTAAAATGAATCCCAAGATCTTATTTCATCTGTTTCAGGTTTCTGCTTTTAGAAGTACTGTAACTGACACCTTTCAGATTAATATATTTTTCGTGTATTTTGCAAACATGAATCCAGTTTTCTGCAGTGCAAACTTGGTTGGCTATTTAGAAATTGTATAATTGCTTGCTAAATCCCAACCCAATCTACCAGCAGAGAGCTTTTACTTTTATTTTTTCACCATAATGCCAAAAATGCTACATGGACATGTCACCAGGAGACTTTATCTATCAGAAATGCAAGCAACATAAGACCGTTGTTAGAGACATCCTCTGTATTTTTTAGAAGACTTGACAGAACGGTAGAGTCTTGCCTCATTTATACTTCTGTGGTCTGAGAATGTTGGCGGGTGAGACTCCTATTGGCTTTTTCCCTGTTATCCAAACTGCAGTCAGAGTATCTCCTGTGGTTTTTAACATTCTCCAAACTGCAAGTTAAATGAGAGAAGCTCCTGCTCCTTCCTTGAGAGCTAAGCATGTGTTAGCAAGCTCAAGAAAAAGTAGTCTTATCTTCCTTCTATAGAAGTTTAGATATGAACAGAAACATTAGAAGAGATGTCTTTTTTTTCTTTTAAAACACAGCAAAATTGAGAGTCTGTGACAGATTACTGAACCTTCTTCCTCCTTGCCCCTAATCTTCTAACATTTGGATTCGGGGATCCCTTGTGCTCTAAGTCTTCCTAATAAGAAATTCTCTCTACTATCAGATGTATCTGTTATGGCTGCCACAGACTTGTACCTAAAAGCTGAAAATCATTATTTCATAAATGATTAACTTTGGGCTTCCAATCTCAGAATGCCTGCGAATGGGTGCAGGTTTACTGCAGACCCTCAACTAGATAAAAAGGAAACAAACTTTTATATACAATGCATTTTCAGAAGCTAGAACAGGGCTGCACTAAGTAGTTCAAACTGCAGCATTACACGAATCAATTAACCCACTTCCTGAACAACAGAGATATGCAAAATATCCCATCATGGAATGCTCCAAACCCAAAATAGGTTGGTCCAACCACTTCTGGAGGATTCAGAATGGGTTGTTTCAAGACTGGTCCACTTCCAGAACACTTGGAATGGCTCATTGCAAGGAAAGAATGTTCTGTGATGGAACAGTCTGGACATCCTTCTGATCAACCACATATAGCAATGCTTTCAGGAAAGCTGCCTTCTAATAGATTTTGTAGTCACTGGTAGACCAGAAGTCAAAATATAATTGTAACAAATCAACCTGATATCTTCTGCAAATTATAACACATGCATACAAATGAAGAAGAAAAAAAAGCATATGCCGTTTGAGGCAAGAACCACTACTCCTGAGATGAACATCTGATTTTTATAGAAATAAGGGTTTTTTTCCCCTGAAAAAGAACCTCTGAAAGCCAGGTTATTTATTTATTTTTTTTTTAAAAACTAAATATTCATTATAGCTGGGTAATTGCCTTAGAGCACCTGTTCTTCTCAACTGGCACTAACAAAAAATACTCTATTATAAGTTTAACTAGATCATAAGCTTCAGGTGTAAAACACTGACTCTGAAAGTTGTATAGAATTCTATACTTACTGAACAATTTTTGGATCTCCAGGGAACATCATTTCTTTTCTGACAGCTACCCATTTCACCTTTGCCCATACCACATTGTTTTCTTAAACTTTGTACTATATATGCTAAATTGGCTTCTTTTATTATAAACTGGCTCACAGGCCAGGAATAATATACAGTTTGTGGGAAAATGATTTGTGTCCTGGTCAAGTTCACAACTGGGAGCCCAGTAATCAGATTTTTTGTTTAAATTGTACCTATTTACCCAGTTCTGTGGAATGAAGTAACAGCTACTTCACACTAGGCCAGCTATATGTCATTGTCATTCACGCTTCAGGGACACCCACATATTCCTATTGTAGTTTATTAAATGGGGTTGTCTTTGAAAAGCATGCTGAAACTGAGTGCAACCAAGTTCTTAATAAGCTGTTTAGGTGATGCTTTCATCTAAATCAGGGTTTCTCAAACTTGTCAACCTTAAGATGGGTGGACTTCAATTCCCAGAATTCTGGGAGTTGAAGTCCACCCGTCTTAAAGTTGCCAAGTTTGAGGAACCCTGATCTAAATACACACAGTTCTATATTTTAGCACACATCTTATTTTATACTTCTGTATTCTATTTTATCTTACACTAATTTATCTCATTCTATTTTATCTTTTATTTTATCTCATTTTACTTCATTTTACCTTACCTTATTCTATCTTGCTTTATTGCAGTTGACCCCTATTGTTTCTTGATATGGTCAACTGACTCATCAATAAAGTTACTATACTAATAGGCTGTTTAGATGGAACATAATGCTTCCCCATTTTGTCAGTTAGATGGGGCAGCTGAACTGAAACAGAGAGGCTGATCTATAGAACCCAGGGACTTCTTCATCTTGCACGTCTATTTTATCAGAGAGCAAAATACTGCCCCTGTCATATGGCATACCTCACTGCAAACTAATTTTAGTTTAAAGCTGATTTAATAGTAGATTACACCCACATAATCAACTTCAGTATTTTAAACAGCGCACAGTAAGCACCTGGATAGAACCCCTTTAGAAATAATTTTTATACGCAGTACATTTGAAATGACATTTTTCAAGGTGTTTATCATCTTGATTCAGCATTCTAGTCCAATTAAATCACTGAAGCTAAACACTTATTCGTGTTCACTGGGAAGAAAGTCTTACTGCATTCAGCTGTGCTTATGTCTGAGTAACATAAGCACTGGAACATTTTATAATATCCCAGCACTGATGT